TTATGTTATACATCAATGATCTGCTGAGTGCATTGTTGCGAAGTTTGCAGATGAAGCAAAGATAAGTGGAGGGAAAGGTAGTGTTGAGGAAGTGGGGAGGCTACAGAAGGATTTGAACAAGCTAGGAAAATGGGCAAATAAGTGGCAGATGGAATACACTGGGAAAATGTGAGGTTATGCACTTTGGTAGGAAAAACAGAGGCATAGACTACTTTATAAATGGGGAAAGGCTTCAGAAATCTGAAGCACAAAGGGACTTAGGAGTCTTAGTTCAGGATTCTCTTAAAGTTAACATACAGGTTCAGTTGGCAGTTAGGAAAACAAATGCAATATTTGAATTCATTTCAATAAGGCTAGAATACATGAGCAAAGATGTACTGCTGAGGATGCATAAGGCTCTGGTCAGACCACATTTGGAATATTGTGAGTAGTTTTGGGTGTCCTATCCAAAAAAGAATGTGCTGGCATTGGAGGGGGTCCAGAGGAGCTAACAAGATTGATCCCAGGGATGAAGGGCTTGTCATATGTGGTTGCAGACTCTGGGTCTGTACTCGATGGGGTTTAGAAGGTTGAGGGAGATCTGATTGAAACTTACAGAATACTGAGAGGCCTGAATAGAGTGGACGAGGAGAAGATGTTTCCACCAGTAGGAGAGACTAGAACCTGAGGGCACAGCCTCAGGGTGAAGGGATGACTCTTTAGAGCTGAGATGAGGAGGAATTTCTGCAGCCAGAGGCTGGTGAATCTGTGGAACCCATTGCAACAGAGGGCTGTGGAGGCCAAGTCATTGAATGTTTTCAAGACCGAGATAGATAGGTTCCTAATGAGTAAGGGGATCAGAAGTTACAGGGAAAAGGCAGGAGAATAGGGTTGACAAAGTCGTTGATTAAAGTCTACATGAAGGCAAGTTGTTAAAATCAACACAGTGTACAGTCGTTCTGCCCAGATCCCTGAGCATCAGCTGTAACTAACATTCAGATCTATGTCTCACCTGTCACAGTAACACATGCAGCCACTCCCCAGTTGTGACCCACTCCCTCACTCCCCAGCCGTGACCCGCTCCCTCACTCCCCGGCCGTGACCCGCTCCCTCACT